TCTTTTAATTTGACAATATTGTACAAATATCATTATTATATTTCTGTATCAAAAATCAAATGTAAATGTCATCTACAGGCCTCATTGTAAGGGGGAGAGAGAGAGACAAACTCTTATTATTATTATTTTTTTGTAATTTTATAGGTTAGTATGAAAGATAATGTATCATCGATGATAAGTTTGGAAGAGTTGTTATCAAAGTTTGATTTCACTGTTAAAATAATACAATATCGAAGTTTTTCTAACATTTTTTTATAATCAAATATCCGAATTAATTTAAGCGTACTTCAATTAATTTTGGGATACTAAAATAAACAATCAGACAAATCTCCAGTGACCTTAAAGTTTGGAATGTTTGGTCTTCATAAAATTCGAACATATAACCTCTTGAACAATAAACTATTTGGTTATCTCGTCCTCCCACTAACCCTTTTTTTGTGGGAACACGTTGTACGTAACAAAGACAAAAAGTGATGGCGTCTCACGAAACCCTCTCTCAAGAAACTCACTCTCTAAGTAACGGTAATAATTGCAGATCCATCGAGAAGAAGGATCATCTGGTGCGTAGCACCAAAAAACTCAAGAGCACTACGATTGAGGAAGGAGATCAACTGATGGAGGAGGTACTGGCGCCACCTGAGGAAAATTTTGAGATTTAAGAGAGATGGAAGTGCTTTTGCCGCCTTCTGAGGCGACACAAAGGAAATCTTTTAAACAAGCCCTCACAGCAACCAAGCATAATGAAAAGGCCTTCGACAATGATCTGGATCGCCTTTCCACTGATGATGAGTTCCTCACTAATGAAGAGGATAATGAGGGACTATCAGAGGATGAACACAAGCACGCCATAGATCCACGAATACCCAAAATCAAACGTCCCCCACGTCTATTGAAATCGATGCATAAACCATGGAAGGATTGCCTTATAGTATGTCTACTGGGGAAAACAGTGGGTTTTAAATTTCTGATCAACAAATTGAAGAAAATTTGGAACTACAAGGAGATTTTGAGGCCACTGATCTGGGTCTTGGATGAAATTTGAAATGATAGCTGACTGCAACAGAGTCTACATAGAAGAACCTTGGATAATCATGGATCACTACCTAATTGTTCAAAGGTGGAATCATGATTTCAAGCCGTCGGAAGCTAAGGAGGTTGCAACGGCTTTGTGGGTTAGATTCCCACAACTCCCAATTGAATACTATAATGAAAATGTACTTTTCCATATTGCCAATGTGATAGGTAAACCACTTAAAGTGGATCTCAACACAGCAATGTCTACAAGAGGTCGATATGCTAGGGTGTGCGTTGAAGTTGATCTCACGAAGCCGCTAGTCTATTTGCCATAGGAAAATATACGTATATAATAGAATATGAACATCTACACTGCTTCTGTTTTGCTTGTGGAAAGGTTGGCCATCGGAAAGAATACTGCAGCTAGGGGTGGGCGCGGGTCGGTTGCGCCACGGATCTTCCAATCCGCCATCCGTCAGCCAGATTGGTGGATTAGAAAAAATCAATCCGCATCCGTCTGCCAATCCAACGAATGTGGATTGAGTGGATTGGCGAATTGGCGGATGGATACGAATTGGTTTGGCAATTTAAAATTTTATAAATTTTCAACACAATTCAACTTGTGCACTTTCTCCCTAAAAAAATAAAATTACAGTCAATGACTTAATAGAGCATTACAATCACTGCATGCTTCATCCAAAGAAAGAAAGTTTGAAACTTTATCCACATATTACAATCACAACATGCCTCATCCACATAAAGTATTATAATATGTGGTTCTTAAATATAAAAACAATTCAAACCACCAAAACCATGAACAGAGCAGTAGTAGAGGTTGCATGCTTCTGTATTGTTACATCCATATCTGTTTTTGAAAACAAAAACCAACCAACATATATAATCTTTTTTATTTATTATTTTTAGAGTTAGATTTAAAAACTAAAATATATAGATAAATAATACATTTATTTTTTTCAATTCAAAAAATATATTTAAGTTGAAAACTCGTTTTCAACGTAATATATTTAACAGAATATTTAAACTCTTTTTCAATTGAAAACACAAATAGAATATATAAACAAATTGAAAACATAAAGTCTTACAAATTACTAGGGGTGCTCGGCGATTTGGCGGTTCGGTTGCGGCCAAATGAATCTCAAATCCGCCATCCGTCCAAAACTAGGCGGATTGGAAAAAATCAATCTGCAACCGTCTACTCGTTGTCACGCATCCGTCCAAAATGCGGCAGATCGGTTCGGTTCGGTCGGTTTGGGCGGATCGGTATATCTGCTGCTCACCCCTAACTGCAGCCTTAAACCAGTACAGGTACCAGTATCGACTCTAGCACCGGCGCGCCAAGGAGAAGAAAGCAACAGTATAGTAAAGAGAGCCGAGCAGAGCCTAACTGCTACCTCATCCAGCCCAAAAAATGATCTATCAGTTGGAGATGAGGCTCAGTTTGGCCCATGGATGCTTGTTAATAGAAGAACTCGTATGCCCACAGTTCATAACCGTAATTCAGGGCCTGCAATGCACAAAAAGCCCAACAATAGATTTGGACCACTTAATAATACGTATACCACAGATAGCACCAATGATGATACTAAAAGCAAAGGGGTCCAAGTGTCTCAGCCCATGCATCCCCCAAAGGCATCGTCCAATGTAATACACTCATACACCAACATTGTGTCTGCATCCTGTACTCCAAAGGTTATTACTATTGCTGTGAACCATCCCTACTCTAGCTCAGATATGTCAATTTAAATGCAGGTTTTCCATTAGAAGTGTACCGCTTCTTTCGAGATTAGAATCGAGGTAAACTCTGCGATGGAGTCAGAAAGTCTAATGAATGAGCTAGCTCCTACTAACCCACCACTTTCCTGCCCACCCACACCTTCATCACCCCACCTTTCTGTCCATTAAGAAAATAATGCTTTAGCCATTCCTTATTTTGTAAAACCCAAACCTAAGAAAAACCCCCTGACCCTAACCATGAGCGACAATATCACCAACGAAGAAATAGAGATGTTGAAAGTATAGTTATCCACGATTACTCATTGTGCAATGGGTTCATACCTTGAACCCGAGAGCGAATCAATTCACCAAGTAAGCATCGTCTAGTGGATAAGTGAAATCAGGCTGAATCTAGAACCTAGATGGCAGAGCGCAACAGGAAAGCCACTACAAGCGACATAGATGGCAGCCCCGAGGTCCACTGCACTAAATCACAAACTAGTGCGTGACATGATTGGTTTGAGTCACTCAGACCCGTTACTAGACTTTCCTACTCGTCCATCAATGAATGTCATGCTATGGAACTACCGAGGAGCCGGCAACAAAACCTTCAGAAGGAACTTTAGGAAAATCACTCGAGTTCATAGACCTAATGTGGTGGCCCTCTTCGAAACCAAGGTCTTGATTAGTTCTATGGGACTATTTTTCAATAACCTAGGCTATACTACATCTACTATTGTGGACCCCATGGGAAGGGTTGAAGGTAGAGGTGGTCGCAGATCGGTTGCGGCCACGAAATCTCCAATCCGCCATCTGTTCATCAAATTGGCGGATTGGAGAAAATCAATCCGCATCCGTCCGCCAATCCGGCGGATGCGGATTTGGCGAATTGGCAGATGAATATGAATCAGTTTGGCAATTTGAAATTTTACAAATTTTCAACATACAAATAAAAAAATAAAAAAATACACCCCTAGGCTATGCAATATTTATTCATTGACATCTATAAAACAACCTGGACAATGCAACCTGGGCAATGCAAAATTCATTACAATGGGCATAATTCAAAATATCTATTCATTCACATCTATGAAACAACTTGGGCAGTTCAACTTGGATTGCAATGGGCATAATTCAATATTGGTTCCAATGAGCATAATTCAATATCACCCAAAACATTGTGCGTCCAACGGGCATAAATCATCTAACTTACACATAAAACATAAGGAAAACATTGTGCATCCAAGTGATAGTCATCCAAGAGTTCCAAAAATAAAAAAAGTTACAGTCATCTGACAAACATTGTGCATCAAAAAAAAAAAAGTTACAGTCTTCCAAAAAAAAGCAAAAAACCCCATCAATTTCCTTTCACCAAACCATGAGCCATGTAAACCTACATAACAAAAAAATGAAATTAATTAATAAAGAAAACACTAAAAAGTCTTAAACATAAAACAAGTAAACATATGTTAACAACATTTAACCAAGGGGAAGTATTTTACCAATGATATTAAACTTCAATAAAATTACTCTCCAGACTTAGACTCGAGCATGAACTTGATTCATAAACAACTACACCAAAAACATAACACAACAAAAAATATGTAAAGTGAAGATAATGAATTTTGAATAATACAAAATAAATGAAATGGATAAAAAACAAATAAATCATTGTGTATATTACCCGAATCATATTGTTGTTCAAATTGTTCAACATCCTCCATTGCTTGTTAAAGGCATATTGGAATGTTACTTCGAAGCCAATTTTGTGTACAAACAAGAACCTCTATCATCTTGGGAGCAAGTGAACTGTGGAATGGATCAAGTATACGACCTCCTGTACTAAAAGCCGACTTAGAAGCAAAAGTGAAAATAGGCATTGCCAACACATCTCGTGCTATAAGTGATAATACTCTATACTTCGTCGCATTAACCTTCCTTCACTCCAAGATATCAAATTGAGCATTATTCCCACCTTTCTCAATATCACCCAAGTACTTATCCAATTCCGACATACTCCCACTACTAGAAAATTGCCTCTCCAAAAATGAGTTAAATTGAGAGTTCACAATAGAGTGTGGGTCATTTTCATGTATCACCATATCTACTCTTTGATTTGCATTGGAGGTATGCACATTTGTTGACTCAAGTGATGCATAATGATCATACAATTGACTTAAACAATTTTTCACCATGTCCAACATTTCTTTCACTTTCACCACATCTCCACCAAAAATTGTTGAAAAACAAAATTATAAGTATGTCATTTTTCTTCGAGGATCAAGTATAACCGCAACATACAAAAGTAGATTGATTTTATCCCCATTTCCCAAATATTTGTCAAACTTGTCTTTCATTTTCTTTTCCATTGAAGACAAAATAGGATCATTGTCTTTGATTAATTGTCCAATCATATTTTCAATGACAAAAATTTCAATGTAGAATGTGTTTGATGTAACAAATAAAGACCCAGAAAATCTCTTTGTGGCATTGTAGAACATTCTAAGAAATTTCAAAAACACCCTACAATTATCCCAATCCTCGGCTGTAGGTATCTCTCTCCTCTCACCCCCTTCATTATCCAAAAAGTAGTGTTTGTAATTGTAGTCCTCCTCACCTATTCTTTGAAAAACACTCTCAAATTTTTCTGCTGCCTCCAACATAAGATATGTGGAATTCCACTGTGTTGGCACATCTAGGCACAAGAGACTCTTACTCTCAATTTTCAAACTTTCCACATACTTTTTAAAAGTGTCAATGCGGTTTGGAGAAGACCTCACATGCATCACCACATGCTTCACATTCGCTGTACACGACTCAAGATCCTTCAATCCATCACTAACAATGAGATTTAGAATATGCGCACAACAACGCATGTGTAAAAATTCATGGCCCAAGACAATTCCATTCCACAGTTTTGTGGTTCGTTTCAAAAATCTAATGGTTAGATTATTGGAACTCGCATTATCAACAGTTAAGGTAAAAAGGCCATCAATGTCGCACTCTTTTAAGAGTGCCTTAATCTTTTTACCAATAGTTTCTTCTTTGTGGTCTTCAACTTGAGAAAAATTTATGATCCTCTTTTGTAACTTTCAATCATCATCAATAAAATGTGCTGTTAGACACATATAATACAAATTTTGTATGGAAGTCCATGTGTCTGTGGTAAAACAAATTCTACATCCCTTCACAATTTTCTTCAACCTCTCCCTTTTGTTGGTGTATATGTCTAGAATGTCTCTAGCAACGGTATATCGAGATGGGATCTTGAACTTGGGTTGCATGACATTACAAAACCTCTTAAAACGAACCCCGTCCACAAATCTAAAGGGCAATTCATCAATTACTATCATCTCTGCAATATACCTTCTAGCAACTTCTACAGAAAATGACGTAGCCACACCATCAACAACACCCTCCCCACCAACTTCTCTAGGTTTAAATCCCAATGATTGTTGCCCATGAGTATCCCTACCACCAACTTCTCTAGGTTTAAATCCCAATGATTGTTGCCCATGAGTATCCCTATATGGATACTTTGTACAATTTTTCAAATGACTTAATAAATTACTTGTTCCATGACTCTTAGAGCCTGCCATATATTCTTTTTTACAATACTTGCACATAGCCCTATCTTTCCCATCAATGCCCTTAATCTTTTCAAAATGATCCCCAAGCCTTTGATGTTGTTCTCCCACTACTACTACTAGTTTTGGCTAGGGGTGGTCTAGGAGGAAGAGCATTAGGTTGGGTGGAGGGGTCAATAGAAAAATGATTCGAGCTCAACATTAGGACTCACAAAAAATGTTTCATCACTTGAAGGATCCATGACCACAAGATTATCAAATATACTTCCAAAACCAATAAAAATTCATTCAAAATACGCTTTTCAAATCCATGGTCTAACAACAGTTTAACAAAAAAAATAAAAAATAAAAAGCTTGAAAGAAAATAAACCATGTATTTATTAATCAATGCATGAAGGACTAATATGAACAATTAAAAAAACATGAACAAGTAATATTATTACATAATACTATTACATATGAACGTGAATTTATGCTAATATTACATAGCAAGATCAAAGAAAAGTTAACTTGTACTTTCCAGCAAAAAACAATAATAGCTGCTAGCCATAACCAAACCTGATAACTATGATCAATAAACTTTTCGATTAATAAATTATTTTATTCAGCAACTTTGAACATCTAAGGCTACTAAATTAAGTTTTCATTTTCAATTAACCAATTATAAAACTTTGAACATCACTGATAAACAATTAATTATATAATTAATTTCCCTTGATAGGGGAGCGAAGTAGCGCACCATTATTATCGGTGATGTTCAAAGTTTGGAAAATTCAATTAACCAATTATCAGTGATGTTCATTTTCAATCAACCAATTATAAAATTCAGTTATTTTATATTAGTTTCTAAACCAATGGAGAGTCTGGAGACAACAACAGTTTTTCCATTCAATAGAGTTGCTTAAGAGAATTTCAACAGAATTTAAATGTCACACAATTTCAACATGTGATCAATTGAGAGACAAAAAAGGTTTCCCACGAAAGCAACCTTAACCATATAGTGTAGGTCATAAATTTAACACAGTCAAATACTTAGAAAACTTAGAAACATGATTAAACATGAGTATTTGATAGCAACCTAAACCACAAATTACATGTCTTTTTATCAACTCAATCGAAGGGGAAAAAAACCTAGTCTTAAAACAGGATCTTAAAACAGGACGAACACATATACACACACACACATGTATATACATCAAACCCTCTCACGCTACACAGAGACGAAGATTCTCAAAAGATGAACTCAATATACAATCTCAGAGGCCGATTACTCAATATACGAAGATTCTCATACAATCAACTCAATATATATATATATATACAGAAAGAGGTATTTGTAAATCTTCTATCTAGAGAGAGAGAGAGAGATACCTCAGTGTAGATCGATCACCGTTCACGGTAGATCGCTCGCCGTTTAGTGTATATCGTCGGTCGGAGGTTCAGTGCAGACCGTCGGACGATGGGTAGGGGGAAGAGAGAGTGAGTGTAGTCTCTACGCGTGTGTTGTGTTTATTTTGTTGGGTTTTGTGAAGAAATCAGTGCAACTCTAAAAAAAGGGGATGAGGCTGTAGACACCCCATTTTTGACCGTCCTCAAGACTTGGACGTCACCGTTTGAACACTCGTGATTTCCATGTTTGTGTTTTCGTTTGGAGTTCCTGGAGTCTCGGCTATGCGCCTTGCCTCAGGATCTCCGAACTTGACTGTTTAGTGTCTGGTTTTGCACCAAACACTTGTGTTTTGCCTTGGAGGGGCAGAGAATGCCTTATGAGGCATCCCCACACACCACCGGCAGTGGCTAGAGGCCACCGGCTGGTTTTTGCTTCCATCGGCACCTTTTTTTTCCGGTCGGCACTGTTTGTTGCCGGTCGGCACTTTTTATTGCCGGTCGGCACTAAATTTTGTCAAAATGACATTTTTGGGCAGCCGACCACTGTTCATCTACTTTATGGAGATATTTTGTGCCAGCTGTGATAGCTGGCACCAACTCTGCCTCCCTCCATACACGTGTATGGAGGGATCTCCCTCTAAGCAAGCTTGTTGTATAAGCTTTGCAAGAGGGACTCCTATAAGAGGAAGGCTCTCCTCTTTGATCTAGGTTAGAGACTTGGAAGCAAAAACCAGAGGTTTCACATATAGATATATCCTATCTCTATATCTCCCTCTCTCTCCTCCTTTGTGTGTGTTTTTTGGCCCAAAAGTGTGTTTTTACCTTACTTTTGCACCAATACACACACTATTACACCTAGCTCCGTGATTGAGGGACTTGGGGGGTTGATTCTTGAGTTTTTGGACTGATTTTGATCAAAAGAAGAGGGCTAGATCATTTGTTCTTCAAAGGTTCTTCAAGGGTGAGCATCTTGCTTTATTTTTCCCAAACTTGCAATAGTTATTTACCTATCTTGCTTGCTGATTTAGCTTTTGTTCATAACATGAAAAAGGCTTATATTTTCATGCTTTAGAACTTTCATTAAGGTTGTCTTGTAGTTTGAGTGCAAACTCACCTTGTTAGGCCTTATTTGGCCCCTTTTGTTGCCTCTTTGGTAAGGTTTTGTTTACTTCAGCGTTTTGATCTCCTCACTACTGAAAACCAGTGTATTTTCAATGGCAAAGAAGGTGGTTTGAAGTCTTGCATAGGGGAGGGACACCCCTCTCCCTTCATTGTCTTGTTTCCTTGCTTTTTTGGCTTAAAAGGGTGGCATGCATGCTTGATCATTTTTGGCCTCATTTCAGAAGATTTTTGGATGTTTTAGGTCATGTCTGACCTCTGTTTTTGGCTGGATTTATGTCTCTTTGCATGCTTAAAGTACTTGCTTTTTATTGCTCTATTTGGCCTAGAAATGCCCCTTGTGCTTAGGCCATGATTCTTGCATATATTGGCATGGTTCCATGAAGGTTTTGGTATTATTTTATCATGTTTGAGGTCTGTTGGTCATCTATTTCAGCCATGCTTTCCTTGTTTGATGTCATCTCTTTGTGTTTTGGCTTGTAAGCTTTGAGTATGTTGACCTCTAGCATGCATAGTTTGGACCATCCTCATGTTTTAGCATCATTTCAGACCATATTTCAATCCATAAACCATGCTCATATGTGTGCATTTGTGACCTCTTTTGTGCCTTGAAGGTGTGCCCTCTTATGCCTATACATGAGCCTTAGTGCATACACCCCTTTGGAGCCATCTTAGCTGCCATATTAGGAGAGTTTGGAGCCCCATTTTGCCTGTAAAAATTCTGTTTCTTGCTTGTCTAAATCATGCTATGATTGGTCATGTTATGGGAGTGAGGTACCTCCTTTCTTGTGCCTTAATTTTGAGACCATTGGCTTGCATGTTGGCATGAGAGTTTGTCCACCATTTTAGGCACTTTTGGCCACTGTTTTAAGATGGTTTGAGGTCTGCCCCTTTGTGGTCTATGGTCACCCTTGCATGCTTATCTCATGTTTGTTGCATAATTGTTTCATTAAGTGTTGTAACATGTCAATCCCATTGCCTAAATGGCCCATGTTTGCACTACATTTGCATCTCGTATGCCTAACATTGCATGCTTGCCATACTAGTTGCACCACACTTGGCATGCCTTGCATCTTGGTATCATGTCGCATTTTAAGCCATGTTTGCATAACATGCATTGCATTATTTGGTTTGGGGTGTCAAGCCAAATGTGGGGATCAAGGGACATTCATACTTCAAGTGATGTAATGTGCCTTGATTCTCGGTCACCGAGGCCTTTGACTCCGATTTGATAAGGCTTTGATTCTCATTTGTTCGTTGCATGCATCTTTACATCAAGTGGCAAATTTGATCCCTTGGGCTATCATGCACCATTGATGGCTCGAGGATCGAGGGTCATGCTTCCTTGAGTTTAAAGCATGATAGGAAGCATGACCATGCTTACATATGCCTGAAAACCCATGCCATACTGTTTGTTCTCTGTTTGCTATCAAAACTGTCTTCTGCAGGAAGTTTCTGCCGACCGGCAGAATTAAGTGCCGACCGGCAATCTGTTTACAGTCGATAGATCCAAAAGCGGCCGGTGGGAATTGTGTACTGCCGGTGGTACTCTGCAGCATGCAAGGAACCTGTTCTGGGACTTTGGGAATTTTCAGAGAAGCAGGGTAGTATAAACAGAGATGGCAGTGATGTGGTACGGGTTTTCCAGGCGAACCGGGTATCGAGCATGCATCATTCGCGCATCCCGAGGCAGAGGCTGTGGCCATCCTCTTCTTTCTTTTTCTTTCTTTCTATTAATTAATTAGAAATTCTGTAATAATTTATTTGCTTATCATTTGGACTGTAATATTTATTTGGCCCCTCCGAGTGAGGGCAATGATGTAATAAGTGTGGGTGAGTGTGTGTATGTCTTCCAATCCCCATTTCTTTCTTCCCTTTTATTTACCTGCTTATGATGGTAGATTAGGGCATTTTTGAAATTAGCATACCTTATGCTATGCATGCGTGCATTCATGCATTTGTATTGCACGCATTAGGCTCGGTACATCATGCTAACTGCATTCGTATTTCAAATTCCAAATTGAATACGTGAATCAATTGGTTGCATCTCATATGCCATATTTAGGTTAACCGAGCCTACTCTAATTACATTTTTGCATGCGATGCATTAGTTATTTTAACATGAATTAGGACATGCATATTTGCTAACTAGTTTACTGTTTTGGCACGGAGTACGATGTAAGTAGTTATGCTTTAGCAGCCCGCATGCGTGTGAGTGTTGCCATGACAGTATGCTTGCCATGCGACTAAATGCTTATGTGATAAATTGTTTGAATGCCTGTGGGTGAAGGGTGGATTGTTTGGAATGGAAAAACTCATTAAAATCCGTGTTTTAGCCTACTTGCGAGTAGCAAATTCCAAAACGTTTTTTTAAAACAAACGGATATGCAATGCTTATTTCCAAATTAGGCAATCTAGTCTATACTTGTTTGCTGTGGGCATAACATAGTAATTCTAGGCTAATAAATGGAATAAGAACACATAATTGGGATTTCTTGAGGGAT